GCCTCTTTGGATTGCTAAACTAGGCAGAATACAATAGAGACCTTGTATCATTTGAGCTTTTTTGGATACAGGGATACATTTGTTTGAAAAGGTTTGCGATATCTAAAATTGCATTAAAAGATTAAATTAAATAAACTAATAAGGTAGAAATCAGAACCGAGTCAATTGTATTGTAACTTTAAGTCAAACTGTTGTAAAGTGCCGAGCAAACTTTTAGCAGTATCATATTTCAATGAATGGACTGGTGCTTACATGACACTTTCTAAAAAATCCATCATTCCCCCAATGATACATATATCTTTTTAGACCAAACATACTCTTTTTTGGAAACCATTTTTAATCTTACAAGTATAAGCCAATGACAATAGAAAAGATGATCAAAAAACACATCAAAACTGGTTTTGGAATAGATAAAGCAGGCTAACATGAAGCTTCTGGAATGGCCTCCCCAAAGGTCCAATCGCAACCCTGTTGAAAATTTGTAGAATACTCTTAAAAGCCGAGTCCATGCCAGGAAACCAGTTAGTTTAAATGAACTCTGCCAATTTTGTCAACAAGCGCGCTCAAATATCCATCCAGAGTTACGCTAAAAGCTTGTTGATGACCAAAATCATCTGGTCAAGATGCAACTTGTGACCTTTGCGCAACCATTCAATCAATCAATAGTTAAACAAACCATTAAAAGCCCCTAATTATCATGACATTATTTCCCAAGAGGAGTGTATGTAAGCTTTTGACCACAATTGTAAATAATTCCCCTACTGCACAGCATTTGCTTGTGCAGTAGGGTTAGACCATGACCATCCAGAAAGGTGTGTGAGAACCTATCATGCATCATTTGAAGATAGCACCTTGTTTTGACACATGGTCACAGGAGCACATGGTTTAAGAAGTAGATAAGATTATTTCCTATTGAAATTTTAGCATTCAGTCAGGTTTTTATTTACTGCACATTGCATTAGCTGTTTAGGAATTAACTGATCAAGCTTGCATTTTTGTTATTATAATACTAGTTTTTATTACTTGGATAAAAACCCTTTGCAGTCTGAAGGCCAGAACCGATGGAAACCCTTTGATGCAGCTGCTGTCTTTAGTTTCTTGTTTGTGCATCTTTCTGACTTCAGTTTTTATTTAATAACTGAAAAGTATGTGCTAAAGGGCTGAGATCAGATGACTGAGTTGGCAGTTGAAGAATATCTCCTTTCTTTGTCTTTATAGACTGTTGGGTTGCTTTTGCGATATGCTTTGAATGATTACCCATTTGCACTGTGTGGACTATGTAAATTAGTTTAAAGTGTTCTTTTTGTACTTTTTACTTAAAGATCTTGTGATTTTTCTATTGCTCTCAGGACATTATTTTGAGGTGGTGGTGCCAAAAAGTGTTTAATCAATAACATGACCCAGAAAGAAGTCATAAAGCACAGGGAGGGATTTTTATTTTGTACCATTACAATGTGTGAAGTGTAGGGGAACTGGTCACAAGGTTTAATTTTTTAGCCTGGAATATGAACCTAGATTATAAAAATAGAACGCCTTCTGAAACTCCACTCTTGGTCTTTATTGTTAAATGATGAGATATTAGCCAAATTTAGTTTGGAGCAGCCCTACACTGCAAATATGACTAGAATTAGTAGTTACAGAGGGAAAAACAGCAGATAACTGTAAAATAAAGTACTTCTTGATAAATGGTTCCTGTGACATTGCTCTGAATTACATTCGTTTGTAATACATTGTAGTGGATATGTGTGGAACTGACCCACCCTGCTGCACTCACAGCAGCTGTCTTCTGTCAGCAGCTGACAGTATACTCTGGCTCTAAGTGTGAGTCATATATTCAAATCATTTTGAGGATCTGACTCACTTCCAACATTTCACTTAATTTCAACTCTACCTAGAATTTGTCACAGATTTATTCCAAATGCCTGCATTTAATCTTACTGTATGCCCTGAGCTATATACAGTAAGTGGACATTAAGACCGCTGGCTCTGCTAAATATTTAGTTGTCTCCCTGGTAACAAATACACTTCTATTTTTAACTCCAAGTCTGCAGTTCCCCTCACAGTCAGGCTCAACTCCACCAGGTTAAAATGTAACAGTTTGGTGTTAACAAAGGATCTTTCACTAATTAGCCCCTCTTCACCAACATCTGCAAGTATTTGTTAACTGCTACATTAGTTATTTGCGGTTTTTAATTTCACTGTGAGTCAGCTATTGGGTGTTTAGCAATGGCACAATTATATTGGCTCTTTGAAATGTCACTCTGGTTAAAGGCACCTCCCACCCTCTATATACTGGAGTCATCTGGTGGGGTGCAGAGAGGCAAGGCCCTGCAGCACTTTCATTTCTTCTCAGCTGTACCTAACCTTCTGCATCTGCCAAGATGAATAATGTAAGTACAATTTTGACAACAATAGTCAACTTATATTACTTTGATTTTCATATGACTCTTTGGTTTACTGATATCAACAGTCTTAGGCTTTAAGCCTATTTTAAGCATTGAACTGACAGCTGGTCCTAGCTTTATATTTACCAGGCTGATGTAATTGCATCAGCTAAACTGAACTAACTAAAACAGATGTTTGCATTTAGTTTTTATTGAGCTGTTAGGAGTTCTAATGTTTTGAATTTTTCGATGACCTTTTATGGTCAAAATATTCACCACGGAGCATATGCTTAAATCATTTACTTCTTAATTGTTATTTTCTTTTTCTCATCTATAGTAATAGATCAATATCATGCCTATGCATGAAAGTTACCCTTAGTAATATAAACACATGATAACACTTGAGTCTTTCATTTCAGTCACGCCTTCTCCTTTCCCAGTGTCAGAGCTGAACAAAGGCTGCATTGCATTCTAGCATCTTTGAATTGATAAAATAGTCAGAATACAATCAAGACCTTGTATCTGTTTTTCTTTTTGGGAGCTAAAGGGGTGTTGTGGTTTAAATCACATTAAGGGATGAAATGAAATAAAGTAATAACCTAGAAACAGGAACAGAGCCAACAATCCTGCAAATCTAAGCCAAACAGGGGTCAACAACAGTTCACCCTTAAGCAGAAGTGTAATTATCTCTCAAATAATGTCTCTGGCACTGTTAAGATTCACTTTGTGTTGATTTCACACAGAAATGACAATTATTCATTCAGTTCAGTGAAGTTTATTTTAATAATGACTTTATTACTAGTAACGTGTTACTGTTTTAATAACTTGCCAGCTCGATTTCATCATCACAACAGAGACAGATTCAGTGAAGTATCATGTCTTACACATTACTTTATTCAGATTCCTTCATTAGGCAGAATGTCCAGGAGATATGCAGCGTCACTGCCAGCTCGGACACAAGCCCAGTCCAGCACAGCCAAACACACTTTCTAACAGAGGAAGAATGCTCACATTACTATACCTCCCTTACTTTCACTGGTTGATCTTTAAATAAACTACATGTTTTGCAGTGAGCTGTGGCGTGCCACGATTTCAGCCTGTTTATAGAACAGTGCAGATCATTACATGTTTGTGTGTCTACAAAAGGGATATAAATGACAGCACTGTTATCTGTGTACCAATAGAAACTCTGGTATGGTGGTGACATATAATTTAAGATGAACAGAATTAAGCTTAATTGGATCTAATAATGCAGATAACAGTGAACAGTAACAGTGCCTTACTGGGGTTACAGAATATGCAGAGGTCCTTGGAAAACTGTAGGATTTGAGAATCACAGTCATGAAGAGGTTGAGGTGAACAATGTTGCTCTAAGGCAGGGATGTCCAACTCCAGGCCTCAAGGGCCGGTGTCTTGCAGGTTTTAGATCTCACCCTGGGTCAATACACTGGAATAAAATGATTAGTTCATTACCAGGCCTCTGGAGAACTTCAAGACATGTCGAGGATGTAATTTAGCAATTTAAATCAACTGTGTTGGATCAAGGACACATCTAAAACCTGCAGGACACCACTGCTCTAAGGTATTGCGACCTGTCAGTTTGTTAACCTAGAAATGTAAATTATTTTATCAACAACTAAGTCTTCAAAGTCATGTTCAGTGGGAAAGTTTGGTCTCTTCACAAGTGAATCTAAAATTGTTAGCATGATCTAATATGATCAAGTATTCATGGTTATTTTTAGCAAATGTGTTTGGTTTCTTGTTGACTGTATCTAGGATGTTTCTCTAACAACTGCAGCATTTAAAACCCACACAAGTAGTTTGTGTTTCTGATCTTGTCCCTTGAAATGAAGGCGGGCAGTGAAGAAATACAAATGAGTCTAACAGACTTATATGATAACCTACATCTTTAGAATACACTTTTAAGGACTTGTGCACCTGGACTTTTTGCCTTCAGTGGTAGAGTTTGTCTGTGTTAGCTGTCTCTTTAAAGTAGCTGAACCTTCAGAAACAAAGCTATGGAACATGTCATTTAGTGTTTCTTCCTAAATTTGACTTGTTTACTTCTATTTGAAATTGACTATGAGAATTTAATTGAGTCAGTAATTTAAGGTAAACGTGGTTTTAAGCCGTGAAACGTGCTTGATTGTTGTTCTTCTTCCCCTTATATTTTACTTACTATACTTATTTCTCTTTCAAATTCCCCATTAGAATGACCGTTTCCTAATTGTTACACAAACCAGTATTTCCCTGCCACATGTACAGCAGGAACTGAATTTCTGCTAAGCTTAGTGTTTTTCCACTCCCGGTATCTAGTATTGCACTGAGGAAAATTTGACTCAGTTTAACAGCTGTCCCTGATCATTTTGCAACATTCAGTCTCTGCCAAAATCGGCGTACAGAAAAATGTCCCTGGCAACCTCAGGACAAGAAAGAGCTGGAATATTTGACCAGCCAGTCAATTAGGATATAACTGAAAACACATGTTCTGCTACTTCTAGGGATAAAGTGAGGATCGGAGAATTGGCCGAGACTATACCAGTGCTGTTTTTTGCCTGAAGCTGTAATAATAATTGGATCCAATAAAAGTCAGTAGTATTAGTAGACAATAATACACTGTATCACCAAACTTGCCTTCTTTTTATGCACAGGGTATGTTTGTAAAGAACATGTCCTTCAAGGTTGGACAAACCATGACTGTTGTTGGAGTCGCCAAACCTGAGGCTGGAGAGTAAGTATTGATTAAGGATGAGCTGTGCCGTGAGATTGTAAATGAATGAATCACAGTAAAGATAGAAAAATCTTCAGTGTTACTGGCTAACAAAAATGAGTAAATTATATTTTGTCTGTGTTAGCTGTCTCTTTAAAGTAGCTGAACCATCAGAAATAAAGCTATGGAACATGTCATTTATCTTCCTGAACTTGACTCAGTTACTTCTATTTGACTATGAGAATTTAATTGAGTCAGTAATTTAAGGTAAATGTGGTTTTAAGCCGTGAAACGTGCTTGATTGTTGTTCTTCTTCCCCTTATAATTAACTTACTATGCTTATTTCTCTTTCAAATTCCCCATTAGAATGAGACTAAGCTACTTATTTAAAGTAAATGAGGTTTGTCACATGTCTGTACATTGCAGTTTTGCTGTGAATATCGGCCCCAGCGAGGACACAATTGCATTTCATCTCAACCCTCGTTTCGATGCCCATGGAGACTCAAATATAATTGTCTGCAACTCTTTCGAGGGAGGCAATTGGTGTCAGGAGCAACGCGAGCAAAGTTTTCCTTTCTCCCTGGGACAGGAGTTCAAGGTGTGAGAGTGTGTGTGTATATTTTAGCCTTGCATGGGTCATATGTAATCTATTAGCTTTCTCTTTAGACTGTATAGTGCCTCTCTCTGGTGGAAAATAAGTGCCACTGCATCTTTGATAACTTCATTATTTGATACTGCAGACTCATCTGTGAGACCTTGATTGTTATACATCACATCTATTACAATATTTGATTCCTTTGTCTGTCTGTCTCTCTCACTGATAATACCTTTTAGATCTCCGTTGAATTCACTCCTTCAGAGTTTGTGGTGACTTTACAAGATGGCTCAACATTCCGTTTCCCCAACCGCGTCGGTGCAGAGAAATACTCGGCCATAAACTTTGATGGGGATGTTCGCATTCGAAGCATTGACATCCAGTAAAGCGCCATCGTTTCTCATATCTGGATGTGAAAAATGTTCTTTTTTTTTTGTTTGTCTAGCAGCAGGTAATATAAAGTCCTAGGTCTTCAGCTTCCTGAAAACTTGTTAACCTTTAATCTAATTATAGACTTTCATAGCTTACAGGATATGAGTTTGTTGAGAAAGAGGTCCAAACAGCTATGGTCATAAAAAAGGAGCCTTAAAAATTTGAATCTTTAGCTCTAAACCTGAACACCCTTTTCTGGAACTCTACCAGAAAAGCAGTTAAAGAAAGTTATTTTTCTGTTTGCAGTTTTTTGCTTGCAGGATTCATATACAGTACAGTGTGGTCAGGTTTCTTTAATGTGTCTCAAAATGCTCCAAAAGACATTCCACTTTTTAATTCTTACCTGCAACAACATCAATTAAAGGATTTTCTTTTATGAAAAAAAAAAATGACTCTGGTGACTCCTTCTATTTGTTCTGCAACACCTTTCATCCTTTCCCTGTGAAATTACTTTATAGGTGATACACAGCCAGTGCTGGGCTCTGTAATTTAACCCTTACATATAGGCAGTATTTCATGTGTCACAGGTGAGTCTGGGTCTAGTTTGATTTTACAACACCTATTTTTGAAGAAAAACATTGACACCACACCATGCGTGGTTTTACATAAAGCACGAACACATAACGTCCACAGATTTATATATTTTTATGTGAAAGTGAAAATGAGGAGAACATTGTGCAAATGTTAGGATTTATTATATAACCACATATAACCACTACAACAAATAAACACTGTCCTCACTGCTGTATTATAACACCTTCTTCAGCACCCACTGAATATTAACAAGGTGGGAGTGGATAACCACGTGTTTTCACCAGTAGCGTTTCAATCACTGTGAATATGTTAACAGTGGACCAGTGAGGGGGTTGTTCATATAATTGCAACTTTGATCAGCACCTCTGAGGGCAGCATGGCTGGTAATCTGATCTGCCATTATGTTGTAATTAGCCTTTAGCACTCCTGAACTACTGTGGATGTAATGGAAGATGATTTTAATAGCTAATTTTAATCATTTAAAATGAATAATTGCAATAATTATTGTGGACTTAGTCTGAAAAACACCACAAGGTCAGGGGCGGATTTAGAAGAGTGGTATGAGGTGGCCTGTGCCACCCTAAGATGATCTCTTGCTACCCCAGTTTTGTATATGACAGTGTTGTTTATTAAAATAAGATAGCACTAACACTTTGAGCATAGTTACAGTTAAGAGTGAATATAAATTCTTAAACTGAATATATTGCCTCCACCATTACCAAATGGATCAGCACCATGGCAATTTCAGATTTCACACAGGTGGTTGGTTGTTACACTCTGGAAATGGAATGAAGGTGAGTGTTATTAACCTTCTGGGGTCCACAGACATGCCGCACCTCCAAATCACATGACTGATTTAAACTGACATAGCAACAAGCTGCAGCCACGCTGAGTCTCTGTTTCAGGCCGTGTTGAAAGTTCGGACTTGAAAGTATACACCAGTTTTGAAATTTTAATGACAGGCCACTAAACCCAGAGTTACGATAAAAAAAAGAAACTAATAAATATACAGGTCATATATATATATATATATATATGACGTATAACAATGCTTTTTTCTAAATACTATCGTCAAGTTTTTTTTGTGGGTTTTTTTGGGAATTTTTAAAAGCATTTTCTAAGGATAGTGCAAAAACAGTAAATAAAGAAAAAAAAGCCACCTCTTTGCTATTGGTTGAAAAATGTACCATGTCGAGCAATTTTTTAAAAAAAAAGTCAACACTTGGGATTTGGTTGGTTAGGAAGAGGGGAAAGTTTTGGTAGTGATGGCAGCGAGACAGAGCGAGTGAGGGATAGAGAGCACGTTTTGAGATGTGGGAGATTTGTGACGTTTAGCGTGGAGTGTACTTAGTGTGTTGTGTTGTCTTGTGTAGCTAGTCTGTTGTGTAGTCATTGTTTTGTTTTGCGTGTCAGTGAGGGCAGAGGCTGACAACAGAATGAATGGACAAGAGTAAAGATGTTAGTACTGAGATTAAGAGCATAGAAAAGTGGTAGTGATGTACTGAATAGATTAGCAGCCAAACACCCAGCAAAGCAGGCAGATGAGATATTACAGATCTTCCCTCTTAGACTTACACATAAGCTTCATTTCTTCCAGTGTAAAAAAAAACTGGCAATTAAAAGCTATACATCTCCAACACTCAGAGTAAACATCCTCAGAAACCTTCATACCTGCATCAGTGCTCATGATTTTCCTTTTGTCACTGTGTCATAACAGCTGCCTCAGTTTTTTCTTGCATCAATGCTTACACGTCTTTGGAGAATGTGTACTGTTGTAGTACTTCACTGTGACCACTGGAGGGCAGTGAGTGCTTAGATCAACTTGCTGTGGAATAATAAGTCAGAAGTAAGCTGATCAACTTTGGTAATTCTCTGATCACAGCCAATTATGTAAATAGTGGGAAGAAATACAAAAATGTGTTTTTTATGTGTGTGTCTGCAAGAATGCGTGTGAGTGCACACCATACTCTGTCTATGGACATAATTTCTGTGGCAATAGATCTGCTGATTGTCTTAAGAACAGATGTTGGGGCATGCACAAACATGTAACATCTCTTTGCCCCCCTTAACTTCTGATGATGTAACTGTCTTTCCCAATACTAACAACAAAAATAATGCTATAGCTATGGCCAAATACTTGTAAAATGATAAACCTTTAAGTCTTTGCCTGTTCTGTCGGAGGTTTCTTCCTCTTAGAAGGGAGTGTTTCCTCCCACTGTCGCTAATTGCTTGCTCATAAGGAATCATCTGATTGTTGGGGTGTCCAAAACTCTAGGGGAATTAGCATTTCCTGTGAAAATTAACAAAAAAAAGTCTAAAAAATAACAACAACAACAAAACCAACCAATGAATATGTTCTTGAACTTGGGCACAATTTTGCTTAAAATCCATTAAGTGGTCTCTGTGTCAAGTTCTTACCAATATTCAAAGCGGAGCAGTGGATTACTTATCATCACATCAGACCTAATTCAAAACAAATTGGAAATAAATTGGATGTTAATTAAATAAACCAGCTTTAAGCATAAGCTTGTTGTTTGTCATTTTTTTTTATAATATAGTGCTACCCTTTATCATCCTAGTAGTTATACCTGTGTTATAAATGTGAAAATCCTCTGGGTTTTTTTGTTTTTTTGTTTTTTTTAGAAAATATGAGCTCTGACCTTGAAGTCAAGGTCCCTGAGATTTAAACCTTACAGAGATTTTCAGTAGATGCAACCATGGTATTTGAAAATTCTACGTTGCCTCATTCTTGAGTTATTGCATTCACAAACTTGGGTGTCCTTAGCACTCCGCCATATATACCAAACTCAAAAGATTAAGAGCTGAAATACGTTGTGGGCTACATTTATAGTGGGAAATGTGCACATTCTCTAAGTACCTTGAACTTATTATTTTATTAGAAGACTCTTTTATACTGCGTGAGATTTTTTTTTTTTTTTTGCCTATTCTGGGTCAGTTCCAGAGGAAAGGCCAACTTTGACAGTTTGCTTCAAGCATAAGCAACCTGTCTTAAACCACATCATGAACCCACACGCAGAATATCTATAAACACACAGTACACTTATAGTAAATTTACAAGTTTCAAGTGAGCTCATGCTTTAGAGACAGCCTCATGAGCGAATTCCCAGGGTCTGAACTGCATAGGTCCATTATTCTTCTCCTCAGTCATGCTTCTATGGTTGGTGCAGATGCTCAAAGTGTGGGTTGCTGGTACAACAGAAATCCAGTTTGAAATTACTCACAAGTATGTACTGGTACATATTTGTAAATGAATGTATTCAGTTATGTGAAAAGTTAATTGAAACATAGAAGTTGGCTAGTTTGTGATATAGCAGGTAGGTCACACATTTGTCTTACCTCTTTGGATATAACCAGGTAGCATTAGCAACAGCCAACAGCCTGCGATGTTTATGGGTTTTAATAACATTTTCAAGTAAGTGCATCACTTTCTGATAGATTTTGTGTAGAGTAATGATTTAAGATCATCATAAGTGCCTCATGAGAATTTCTGATTTTCAGAAAGAAGTGAGCCACAGTACTCCTGACTTTGGGAATGGGGAGCTTTAAGCAGCTATTGACCAAATAATGACACAGGCTTGGTTGGTGCTATAATTTGGAACAGATAAATGTGTGAATTTATAGGATTTTATTTATTTATTTATTGTTAGCTCAATTTTTTTTAAAAGATGTCCCTGCACTCAGTTTTTGATACAGGCGACACGGGCGGTTGCCCGGCGGGGGGCGGCATCACCATCGGCAAAAAAATAATAATTGCTCATACTCATGCTGCCCTGACGTCATGCCAGCACATATTGGGACTCGCACTGATCGGTTTTCTATCGCCCATTTGCTGGGAGTAAGGGTGCCCTCCATTTGCGAGGTGCGCCTGCTGCTTGCGGCACAGGGAGGAGAGGGCGGGGCGGCGGGGGAATCTCTGACTGGCTGAAGCAGCATCTAATAACCAACTCGCAAAATAAAACAAAATAAAAACAAACTAACAAACACAAAAACACCAGACATCATGATACAGACCGCTCAGAAAAAGCTGTAAGGCCTCCGGGGGTCCCCGAACCATACTTTTATAACCTCACTCTGCCGACTGCAATAACACCCACGCCTCTGTGCTGCGGGAGTCTGCTGCTGCTGCCAGGGTTAGTCTTGTACTTTAGTAAGCGGCTGTGAGCGCACAACAGAGAAGAAAACTTGGGTAAACTCTGCAACTTGAGATGTGAAGACGCACAACAAGTAGCGAATAGTTCAGGTAAAAACTCAAACAAGGACTCGTATAGGAACAGGAAAAAAAATTGGATTGCCTGCTAATGTGCATATATTTATTTTCAGGATGCAAAGGATATTGTTTTGCATTCTGGGCCTACTTGTAAGTAGCTGGCACACCTTTGTGTTTACATGTTTTTCTCTTATTTAATTTTTTTCATCTTTTGACTGAGCTCATTTCTCCTCAAACAAACTGGCGCAAAAAAAGGTTTTACCTGAAGTGGTTCACTTGTTTTGAGAAGGTAAAGCAAATCAGTAACTTTTTGTTACTCTAGAGGATTCATTTTGGTCGCCGTCACTTTTTGTCACTTGTCATTTTTTGGTGGTAAACATGTCTTGTGAGCAGTAATGAGTTACCAGTTAGCTCCATATGACACATTTTGTGTATCATTTAATTCCTGAAGTAAATAAATAGGTTTTCCCCAAAAGCTTTGATCATTTTAGAGAAATAAAGTGGACGGACTTCAGTGAAAGTGGCACAGCTGGCTGCTCAACAGTTTTAATAATGTACAATTTATATAAATTAGTCATCAAAAGGAATAGTTAAAAAAAACACGAGGCGGCTTGGCTGGCAGTGAGATTATGGAGGACCACGAGTGCCAAAATTATTTAACCAAACACATAATTAAATAATAAAAAAAATGTCATTAAATAATTGAAAGTAAAATGTGTCATTAATTATTATGAGTTAATTAAATGTGACAAACATTAATTGGTTAAAATTCAAAGTAAGTAAAATATGCATAAACATATAAATGAAGTGAATTCATATTTTATCATTATTTTTGTTTTGAATTAATTAATTATTTCAAACTTTAATTACCTACCCAATTAATTGTTTAATGACATATTTGTTTAATTCATTTTGGCACTCCTTAATGAACAGGTGTTCGGTTAAATTTTGTTATAGTTTTTCTCGATTGCTTAAACACTATAACCAATCTTGTGAATCCAAATTTCAAAACCATAAAGCTAATTTCCAAAAAGCACACCCATTTCCCTGAGCTATAAACACTATGCCCCTGCTTTGCCACATGAATCAGATGTGGTGAACTGTTACTGCAAAACTCTACACACAGATCCCTACGTGACACCCATGTTAGGGTCCACTTGTCAATCCCGAAGGAATTAATAAAGTATGTTCACTGTGCTTAGTGAATTTTCCTTAATTCCAAGATTACTCTGCCATACATCATTTACAGTTGACTGTTATGGATGGTTGTTCATCTTCCCTAAATCAATACATTAAAAAAAAGGTTACCTGTTTACCTTGTGATATTACAAGATTTTGTTACACATAACTTTTTTGAATTCTTTTGTTCAGTCTTTCCCCTTGTATGCAACTTGTATTACAAAAAAAGACTAAAACTGTAACTGAAGCTAAGCATTTTCAAAAACATAAAAACTAAACTGGAAAACTAATTTTAAAAACAAATTCAAACTAGAAAATCGAATTGAAAATCTCAAGTTGAAACTAAATAAAAATAAAAACGAATGAAAACCTTGGTGTACATTGATAACTTCTTAACTCTTAGTTTGTCTTCTCATCTGCATAGCCATGCATAGACATGAAAGTTATATGGAAGTTATTTGTTTGACAGCAAGATAAACACATGCTAACATTCCCCTGTAATTTCTCTCACACCTTCTCAGTGGAACACAAAAAAGACCTTTCAGAACATGTTGGCCTTTTTTTATTTTTTATTTTTGAATGAAGCACTAAACCTGTTTGGAAAGGAGTGCAGTGACTAGATAAGGAAACATATGCATAAAAGGTTACTTATTAAGTAAGATAGTAAGAACATTTCCCTGTGTCATTTCTGCATTCTGGCCTCTTTGAATTGATAAACTAGGTAGAATACAACACAAACCTGTCAGATCATTTTGAATTTTTTTGATTAACAGGTTAATGTGTTTGGAAATGAGTGACTGTAGATAAGAAGATATATGTATAAAAGTAATCTCTTAGAAAGGGAAAGAAATAAATGCTAAAAACTCCCCTGTGTCATTTCTGTCACACCTTCTCTCTTTCCCAGTAGAGCAAAGGCTGAATTGCTTTCTGGCCTGTTTGGATTGATAAACTAGGCGGAATAAAGATCCTGCAGTGTTTGAGCTTTTTTGGATACAGGGGTAAATATGTTTGGAAAAGTGTAAATGACATACAGTAAATGGCTAAAATCTAAATCTTGTTGACTTCTTATATCATTAATGGTTAATTGAAATTAGGTTAAATGTGCTATATAAAGTTGACTTAGGCACTAAGTTTAAAACATTTATAGAATGAATGTCAACTTAAAAAAAAAAGAATTTCAGTAACAAAGGAACCATATCTCATTTACCAAACATACTATAATTAAATTATAATTAATTTAAACCCTTTTAAACTTTATAAAATGTTTCATAAAGAGTTCACTCGTAGTTTAAAAATGTTTCTCTACAGTCATAATGGGCATGAATGTCATGGTAATTTGAGTCAATTTCTTAGAGCAGGGCGATATGATCAAAAATATTTATCACAATATACATTTGAAAATTTGCGATTACGATATAACTGATGATATAATTGACACTAGACAAAATACTTTACAACTCCACAACTTTATTAGTGCAAAAAGAAAAAAAAACATTAAAGTTAAAAATGTGCATTAAAGTTATATAAAAAATGTAACAGTGCAAATGCAAATTCCTTGCTGACAGTTTAACCAAAAGGCATTTCCAGTGGAAATTGGC